CCCGTTGACAATTCACGAGCGTCTAACTCTCTCCCCCCTCCCCCGTCACACCTTCTAACAGAGCCCCCCCACATATCAAATCCCAATTTAACCCCTGGCCTCTGGAGTAGAAATGAAAGAGTTTTTAAAATGTTTACGTTTTGGTAAGTTTTTAGGGAAATGTTGTAATATTGCAATGTTGGCCTTAGGTGGGAGCAGAATTTCTGTATTTCTACTCACATTGTCTGAATAAATATATTGAACAACTAAGGGTTAATTTGCAGGATTGATTGCTTACTTAGCCCTATATCAGTATATAGCATGAATAATAATCACACATCACTCATATTTGTTATGAATAATCATTTATCATTTATTAAATAGTAAGTCGCTTTGGATAAAAGCGTCAGCTAAATGCAATTTATGAAAGCCTCACTCAGGATTTTTTTAACAAGTGTTTTTATTGCACTTGGGGCATTAAAAACAAGATTTTAACTTTAGTTTTTTATATAATATCTGCATTTTCTCTTGTGAAAAACTAAGTCTTAGTTTGGCCATAGTTATTTAATATATAGCGCCATCTCCTGGTTAAATCCTGAAATTGAAAATCTGGCAACGCCCTCTTGGAAAATAGTGGGAGGGCTTAACATTCCCAGATACTGGTCTTTGGCAGGTCTTAGGCAGGTAACTGGCTGGTAGTAGGCAGGAAGCTGTATGCTGGAGTCTGAAATAAGATGCTCCATCTGTATGGTCATTTGTTCTGGGAATGTCATTTTCGAGCCTGAGACCTGAAAAACAGGCTTAGGGCTAAACAGGTTAAGGTTAACCTGGTATTTTTACTACATTTATTTTAGTTACTTTACAGATTTGGATTAATGATGTGAAATATAAACAACCCTTAAATCAGACTTTAGTAACACTTGAGTAAAATTCAGTGAAGGTGATTGTCAAGTGCAAACAATCAGGCGAGATATTTGATAGTTGGTGCTTGAGAAGACAAAAAATGTATCTGCAGATCCCTATAAAGCATATTCATTACTCGTTATTCTCTAATTGTTCATCAAAAACTGTATATAATGGCTATTTTGCACATCCCTTTCAAGATTTCAAGATTTTCAAAGGATTATTGAAATATCATATACACAACTACGGTGTAGTTATGCAATGATGGCAAACTTGGGTCATAGGTTCCTCAACAAGAGATCTATCAATATGTGTGTACCTCCACCATTAAACTGTCATATTCTGCACATTTCTTATTCTATCTACATACATCTTATAAGAGTATAATAAATATGTATAATATTGGTTAAAATAAGTGCTTCAACATAGTTAACATTGCAGGAAAGTTGATTGTCAAGTCCCAAAACAAACCATGCAATGTATTAAACGTTAAGTACTTTGTCAGGATTAATATAGATACCCCCAAAGCTTCTTGCTTACATGTATTTAAAAGAAGACTTTAACCTAAAGTATTATTTAATGTTTAAATAAAGCCTAATTAGTTTGTCTGTTTTGCACATCCTCCTATTAATATCTTTGTACATCCGGCACTAAACTGTTTTATTCCATTTATAGTATCTTCTTGATATTTTCTATTCTATATTTCTATCATTGACCTTCTACTTTCCTCCTATTTTGTATATACTCTTAATATTTAAATGTTTTCATAAAATATAACACATTCAAAAGTCCTTTACAAAAATGAAAGACATTAAGAAAAAGGCATTTTAAACAGTCATTAAAAAGCAACACAATCTACCTGCATTGCAATGACTCTAAAGGTGTAATACCGTGCTTTAACCAGTAGGAGGTGCGGGTTAAAAAGCTGTCAAGTTTACAGTGTTAACAAAATAAAATATACTGCTGTTTCTGGTTTAGTTTACGACGGATATATTTAGTTATTGTTTTGATATTTGTAACACAAAAGCGATGTAAAAAACCCACAGCAACACAGAAAAGATGGTCTTAACATGACCCAGCGCTCTATAGTTCATAAAAAACAATAATATCAAAACAAAATATTACTACTAACTTTATTGTGAAATTAAAACAGAACGGTAAAAGAATAGTTTCCGGTCTATTCTGAGGCCCGATCTCTGTAGATAAATAAAGAACTACAGATGTGTAATGTTTAATGCAGCCAAACCATTCATTACAATGCATTCATGTGATGACTTTCAAAGAGTAAAGCAAGCACTGCTGAATAAAGTATGATTTTATCTTTTACCAAACGTTTTTTTTCATATGGAATGCAATTGGAGGTCAACCAATCACAGAGCTTGAGAACTAATCACGGGGTTTGTCAAACAAAGCACATGGTGTAGTCCTAAACAATAGCTGAGGATTCTGGGTAGTGTAGTGTCTTCCGCCATCCTAAACTCCGAAAAAATATTTGTTTCTCCGAATCGAAGGGGAAAAATACAAAAGCATTGCACACAATTTAAACCAATCAATGTTGTGTAATTAACAAGGATACTCTGGTGTTTCTGAGTTGATGAGTAGTGCAGATATCACTGTCAAATCAATCGACAGTAAGGAGAATAGTTACTTCCGGGTGAAAAATCCTCCATTATCCAATGGGAATGGACGCTCACATTGCCTTTAAACAGCCACCGACATAAACGGATGCGGTGCTTCCATGAGCGTCAAATACCGCCGCCGATGGGAATACATTGCAATCAGTTGAAAGCTCTTTGCGTCCGTTTATGAAGCTGAAGGAGACTCGGCGTGTCCCAACTGCACGCCTCGGGACCCTGACCAAGCGTCGCTCCTGGACGTTTAGGGAGTGAGAGTGTGTTGGATAAACACATTGATACACACGTTATACACACGTAACAACGTGTTAAATACATCAATACACACTTTCTGTGGGGATGTTGAGTTGTCTGTGGTGATGTTGAGTTTGAGTCTGTGATTTAAAGTTTTCTGTCAGTAGTTTAATGCTGTTATTGTTTCCTGTCGTTGAACAGATATGTGTTTACATTCATTTACACGTTTGAGGCCACGGTAAAAGTCTTCTCCAGAGGTTTCTGTATGGGGAAATTCACCTTCCTGAAGGACCCGTGGAACTGGCTGGACTTCATGGTCATCAGCATGGCGTAATACACAATACTACACTGATATACACTGTGATACACAATGCTACAGAGCGATACAATGATATACACTGTGATACACAATGCTACAGAGCGATACAATGATATACACTGTGATACACTGTAATATATAGTGATACTCTGTAATACACTGTGATACACTGTGATACACTGTGATACACTGTGAAACACTGTAATACAAAGTGATATACAGTAATATACTGTAATACACTATAATACACTGTGATATACTGTGATACACTGTCCAAATACATAACAGTACACCATTAAACACACACTTACTCACCCCCAGAAGTTCATCAGAGTACTTCTTGTCCATGTATCGCAGGTACCTCACTGAGTTCGTGGATCTGGGAAACGTATCTGTGCTGAGGACATTCAGAGTCCTCCGAGCACTGAAGACCATCACCGTGATCCCCGGTGTGTGTGTGTGTGTGTGTGTGTGTGTGTGTGTGTGTGTGTGTGTGTGTGTGTGTGTGTGTGTGTGTGTGTGTGTGTGTGTGTGTGTGTGTGTGTGTGTGTGTGTGTGTGTGTGTGTGTGTGTGTGTGTGTGTGTGTGTGTGTTCGTCCCAGTGCGTGTGACTCATCGTTAACTCTGATTGGTCAGGTCTGAAGACCATAGTGGGAGCTCTGATGCAGTCGGTGAAGAAGCTGGGTGACGTGATGATCCTGACGGTGTTCTGCCTCAGCGTCTTCGCTCTGATTGGTCTGCAGCTCTTCATGGGAAACCTGCGGCAGAAGTGTGTCCTGATCCCCCCCCAGTTCATCAACCATACGTCTGACATCGGACAGGGTTACGATGTCAATGACACTAACGTCAACAATACAGGAAGTGGCTTTGATTACCATGAGTACATCAACAACCCAGGTATAAATACTTTTACTTCAGCAGTATTACCACAAGTCAGCAGTTTACTCTACAGTGATGCACAGAGTCTGTATCCTTGGTTCTACCAGGGACTGTGGGGGTGCGATAATGATTCCTTATAATATATCCAAAGGGAAGCAGGTATGTGTTGGACAGAATAACACCAGATCAGAACCCTGAGGGACTCCGTGATACACACTGATAGTACAAAGCATTAAAACCAGAGGGGATCCTGAGCAACATGTTCCAGGTTTATCATCGGAGGGGCAAGACAATGCTTTAAAGTCACATGACCTTCTGGGTCACATGATGTCTGAAACCAGCTCTTCGTTCTGTCTGTCTCTACCTGTCTGTCTGTCTGTCTCTACCTGTCTCTCTCTCTGACAGACAACTACTACTTCCAGTCGGGTCAGCTGGATGCCCTGCTGTGTGGAAACAGCTCCGATGCCGGGTACGTGACCACACCGCTGCTTTAATACTTATATTTATAATAACTTACGTCACATTACATAGCATTTAGCTGGCACTTTTATTTAAAATAAACCAAACAAATTAAAACTAAGGACAATAATAATAATAATGACAGATGGTGTGTTCAGGGATAATAGTAGATGGTGTGTTCAGGGATAATAGTAGATGATGTGTTCAGGGATAATAGTAGATAGTGTGTTCAGGGGTATTATTAATGACAGATGGTGTGTTCAGGGATAATAGTAGATGGTGTGTTCAGGGATAATAGTAGATGGTGTGTTCAGGGGTATTATTAATGACAGATGGTGTGTTCAGGGGTATTATTAGCCTGTTAAGCCCGAGAGCCTCCGGTACCGGGGGCTGCAGGTTTTTTTGCACAAAACTGTGTCTCAGGGCTTCTTAACATTTATGAAACTATTAATGTTCCATACTCACTTAACGGGAAGAAACTCAGCAAACTGACGATATGAACCATTTTTACCGAAACAAAACACAAGTCTCACAAGAAGCGTCTAAATGAGCCCTGAGCGAAAAAATGCTACGCACTTAGCACAGAACTCACGGTAAAAATACCCTTATTACTTATCGTAACTGCACATACAAGATATCGATTAGCAAGCTGAGATTCCACAGATTCCAGAAATATAGCGATCAGAACTCGCGACAGGGGATGCGAAAACAGACATCACAACACGTAGCATTACGGAGCATTCATGTGACATCGTCTTACCTTAGCTGTTGTTCTGATCAAAAGTCGTGTTTAATGGCATTAAAACGATAAAAATGCTGCTGAAGGATAATCTAATGGTTAATCCAATGTGTCCGTGTCACTTTGAAATGATTTCTGATAATCTATCCTTCCATTTTTATGTCAATAACGGAGATTTCATATTAGCTGCTATGATAGCCACCAGAGTGTATCGCAGCTTCCGGTTCCGGGGTATTCTGGCTGCGCATCACTCATTCACCAATGGGTAATGTTTAGGTGGATTTCAGGAACTTCCCCTCGATTCTATTGGCTCTAACGGTTAAAAAGAGATGTCAATCATCAAAATCGAACGAGGGGGGCCAGAGATATGGAAATTGCACCCAAATGACCCCAGAAGTGTTTTTTTTTGCTAAACCTCTCTAAAAAGGTCAAATGCAGTGGCGAGCCGTGACTTTTATACCTAGGCCCTCTCACCCTCTGTATGTGTTAAGTAAATAAAGTTGCCTTGCCTTGAATGAAATTCACGCAACTCTTAACCTGTTAAGCCCTGAGCCTGTTTTTCAGGTCTCAGGCTCGAAAATGACATTCCCAGAACAAATGACCATATCTTCCCTTCTAAAAGGGTTACATTAATAAACTTGTTTCTCAAAGTAATGATAAACCTGTGAGTTGGATGTAGAAAAGTCAGAATCAATATAGATGTTTTTTATTTTAAAGAAAAAAAAAAAGAAAAAAAAACTGTAAATTATAGTGTCCGTCCAAAAAATATGTTTTACTTATAGTGAAAACTACCCTTGGATGATGGGATGGTAGACTAAAAGCTTTAGGAATCCAAAGTACAACATATAATAAGTACCCTGTATCAAGATTGATGCAAAACAAGTGACATTTGACCTTTTTAGAGAGGTTTAGCAAAAAGAAACCACTTCTGGGGTCATTTGTGTGCATTTTCCATATCTCTGGCCCCCCTTGGTCGATTGTGATGGTTGACACCTCTTTCTGACCGTTAGAGCCAATAGAATCGAAGGGGGAGTCCCCCACACACACATATGGTAAAAAAAAAAGTGGGGGCTTCGCACATGCAGTTTTGCATCAGAGCGAACCTACACTCTAGCTCTGACATCTGGAAACGGAAAAGCAGTTTTATTGCTTATGGATTATCAGAAATCATTTCAAAGGGACACAGACACATTGGATTAACCTATGGATTAACTTCAGCAGCGTTTTTATCGTTTTAATGCCATTGAAGACCACTTTTGACCAGACTACGACACAGGTAAACCATGTTAGCGTTTTTAGCTACCTAGCGTCACATGTTTTGATGTCTGTTTTTGTTTATAAAGTGGCGAGTTCGTATCATAGAGTGATAATGTATGTACCCATCGATTCTGTGTCACCTCACGATGTGAATTGATGTGTTGGATGTGCAGAAAAGATAAATAATAAGGTTCTATGAGTGATTTTTGGTGCAGTAATCCATTGCTCATTCAGAGGCTCAGCGTTAGCATTGTGGGTTTTATTTAAAAAAAAAAAAAAAATGATCAGTTAGATGAGTTTCTTCCCGTTACATGGATATAAAACATTCATAGTTTATTAAATGAACATGCCCTCAGACACTGTTTCCTGCAAGATGTTGCAGGAGGGCCCCGGTACTGGGGTCTCTCGGGCTAAACAGGTTAATATTAGATACTAATAATAATAATAGCTTGCATTTATATAGCGCCTTTCAAGGGACCCAAGGTCGCTTTACAGTAATAGGGCAAAAACAAACATAACAAAACAAAAGTCAGACAGACAAAACAACAGATCGATTAGGGGCCGAAAGCCTTGGCAAACAGATGGGACTTGAGGGCCCTTTTGAAGGCGTCAAGTGTGGGGATGTTGCGAATCTCCGCAGGGAGAGCGTTCCAGAGGGTGGGGGCTGCCACACTGAAGGCTCTGTCCCCGAAGGTTCGCAGTTTGGTGCGGGGGGTGGTAAGCAGGCCAGAGTCTGAGGACCGCAGGTTCCGGGGTGGGGCATGTGGGTGAAGGATGTCCGATAGGTACTGGGGGGCAAGGGCATGGAGGGACTTGTAGGTAAGGAGGAGTACTTTGTAAGATATACGGGACTTGACCGGCAACCAGTGTAGGTGGATGAGGGTGGGAGTGATGTGCTGCCACGGCTTTGTGTGTGTGAGTACCCTAGCAGCACAGTTTTGGACATACTGGAGCCTGTCCAGGGTTTTTTTGGGAACCCCGAACAGGACACCATTGCAGTAGTTCAAGCGGGTGGTGACAAATGCATGTACTAGGGTTTCGGCAACCGACTCCGAGAGTGATGGTTGGAGTCTGGCAATGTTCCTCAGGTGGAAAAAGGCCGATTTGGTCACAGATTTGACGTGGGAATGGAAGGAAAGGGTGGAGTCAAGGATGACACCCAGGTTGCGGGCTTCAGGAGATGGGGAGATGGACTGTGTGTTTGGCTCATTTTCCATCCGAAAAACACATCGTCTACCTGTCCTGTACCACTTGTTATGACTTCTCTCTCTTGCATATTCCGTTAAGACCCACCCCATCTCACTCCTCGTGCTGAAACCTACCAATCAGAGTAGGGGCGGGTCTTCACAGAATACGTTTGGGGAACAAAATCAAGCTTTTTAAAAGGCGAGTGGATTTTGGAAGGCAGTGAGTGCGGATCAAGTTATTATGGTAAAACTAAAGAAAAATATAACTAAAAAAATATTTTAAAAATATATATTAAAGAAAATGTTTGTTTTTTTAATGTTTTTAAATATTATTTTGTAGAATATTGGATCACATCACTCCTGTTCTGAAGTCTTTACACTGGTTCCTCACTAACACTAAGAAAGTGGATCAGTCCTGTTCTGAAGTCTTTACACTGGTTCCTCACTAACACTAAGAAAGAGGATCAGTCCTGTTCTGAAGTCTTTACACTGGTTCCTCACTGACACTAAGAAAGAGGATCAGTCCAGTTCTGAAGTCTTTACACTGGTTCCTCACTCACACTAAGAAAGTGGATCAGTCCAGTTCTGAAGTCCTTACACTGGTTCCTCACTAACACTAAGAAAGAGGATCAGTCCAGTTCTGAAGTCTTTACACTGGTTCCTCACTGACACTAAGAGAGTGGATCAGTCCAGTTCTGAAGTCTTTACACTGGTTCCTCACTGACACTAAGAAAGAGGATCAGTCCAGTTCTGAAGTCTTTACACTGGTTCCTCACTGACACTAAGAGAGTGGATCAGTCCAGTTCTGAAGTCTTTACACTGGTTCCTCACTGACACTAAGAGAGTGGATCAGTCCAGTTCTGAAGTCTTTACACTGGTTCCTCACTGACACTAAGAAAGTGGATCAGTCCAGTTCTGAAGTCCTTACACTGGTTCCTCACTGACACTAAGAAAGTGGATCAGTCCAGTTCTGAAGTCTTTACACTGGCTTCCTGTGTGTCAAAGAATATATTTCAAAATACTGCTGCTGGTTTATAAAGCTTTGAATGGTTTAGGCCCAAAATACATTTACTGCTAAATGATGAACCATCCAGAACTCTCAGGTCTTCAGGGACTGGTCAGCTTTCTGTCCCCAGAGTCAGAACTAAACATGTTAAAGCAGCGTTCAGTTATTATGCTCCAAATATCTGGAACAAACTCCCAGAAACCTGCAGGTCCGCTGCAACGAAGACTACTTTTAAATCCAGGCTAAAGACTTTTATTTTTGCCGCCGCTTTTAATTGAACTATTCACATCTTAAACTGCACTGTCACTTTTATCCATGTATTTTTTCTTTTAATGTTTATTTTATTATCTTTGCTTTTTAATAACTGATTTTAAATGCCATTTTCTTAATGTCTTTCATTTTTTGTAAAGCACTTTGAATTGCCTTGTGTTGAAAGGTGCTGTATAAATAGACTTGCCTTGCCTTGCCTATATATATATATATATATATATATATATATATATATGTATTATATGTTATTGTTTGGATTCCTAAAGCTTTTAGTCCACTATCCCATCATTCAAGGGTGGTTTTCACTATAAGTAATGTTTTCATTTTTTGTACGGACACCATAATTTACATTTTGTTACTATGTTCAATCTGAATTTACTTTAAAATAAAAAAAATCTATATTGATTCTGACTCTTCTACATCCAATTCACAGGTTTATCATTGCTTTGAGAAAAAAGATTATTAAGTTATCCCTTTTAGAAGTGAATATATAGTCATCTGAGACCTCAGATGGGGTGTTCAGGGATAATAGTAGATGGTGTGTTCAGGGGTATTATTAATGGCAGATGATGTGTTCAGGGATAATAGTAGATTGTGTGTTCAAGGATAATAGTAGATGGTGTGTTCAGGGTATTATTAATGACAGATGGTGTGTTCAGGGTCTGTCCAGAGGGCTACGTGTGTCTGAAGGCTGGCAAGAACCCTAACTATGGATACACCAGCTACGACTCGTTCGGATGGGCCTTCCTGACTCTCTTCAGACTGATGACTCAGGACTTCTGGGAAAACCTCTTCCAGCTGGTCAGTGACTCCTGATAGGCTGAGGGCAGCAGGAAAGACCTACATGGTGTTCTTCGTGGTGGTGATGTTCCTGTCTGTCTCTCACCTGTCTGTCTCTCACCTGTCTGTCTCTGACCTGTCTGTGTCTCACATGTCTGTCTCTCACCTGTCTGTCTCTCACCTGTCTGTCTCTGACCTGTCTGTGTCTCACATGTCTGTCTCTCACCTGTCTGTCTCTCACCTGTCTGTCTCTGACCTGTCTGTGTCTCACATGTATGTCTCTCACCTGTCTGTCTCACCTGTCTGTCTCTGACCTCTCTGTCTCTGTCCTGTCTGCCTCTCACCTGTCTGTCTCTGACCTGTCTGTGTCTCACCTGTCTGTCTCTACCTGTCTGTCTCTGACCTGTTTGTCTCTCATCTGTCTGTCTCTACCTGTCTGTCTGCAGACCCTGAGGGCAGCAGGGAAGACCTACATGGTCTACTCTCCTGTCTGTCTCTCACCCGTCTGTGTCTCACTTGTCTGTCTCTCTCCCTGTCTGTCTCTCACCTGTCTGTCTCTACCTGTCCGTCTGCAGACCCTGAGGGCAGCAGGGAAGACCTACATGGTGTTTTTTGTGGTGGTGATCTTCCTGGGCTCCTTCTACCTGATAAACCTGATCCTGGCCGTGGTGGCGATGGCGTACGCTGAGCAGAACGAGGCGACGCGGGCCGAGAACCAGAAGAAGGAGGATGAGTACCAACAGATCCTGGACCTGCTGAGGACCAGGGAGGAGGAGGTGAGACACACACCTGTCTACCTGTCTGTTACCTGTACCTGTCTCTCTGTTACCTGTTTTTCTGTTGCCTGACCCTCCACCTGTCTCTTGTTACAGCAGGCAGCCTGCAGGGCAGCGCTCTCAGAGAAACAGGATTCAGAGAAGAACTCATCAGAGATAAAGAGCCATGAAGAAGAACACAATGTCATGGAAGGTAAACACACACACACACACACACACCCACACAAACATAAACACACAACATATCACCTGTCCTCAGACCTGCAGACACACAACATCTCACACACCACACAGGCTTCTGTTTAGTAAAAACTGACCCCCTGTTGTGTTTTCTGACCCCCTGCTGTGTTTACTGACCCCCTGCTGTGTGTATCAGACTTCGCTGAGGACCAGAGGCCATGTCCACCATCTTGGTACGTCTTCTCCGACGTCTTCCTGAAGTGGAACTGCTGTAGCTGCTGGCGGTGGCTCAAGCTGTGGCTCTACACCATCGTCATGGACCCGTTTGTGGACCTCGGGATCACCATCTGCATCGTCCTCAACACCGTCTTCATGGCCATGGAGCATTACCCCATGACGGAGGAGTTTGAGGAGCTGCTGAGCATTGGGAACCTGGTGAGTGGAAGGCAAGAGTCCCTTAGTATCTGCAGTCTCCCTGCAGGGGGCAGTAACATCTGTGTCCAGCAGGGGGCAGTAACATCTGTCTGTCTCCAGCAGGGGGCAGTAACATCTGTGTCCAGCAGGGGGCAGTAACATCTGTCTGTCTCCAGCAGGGGGCAGTAACATCTGTCTGTCTCCAGCAGGGGGCAGTAACATCTGTCACCAGCAGCCTGATGACCTCTAATTTCTGACCTCTGATTTCTGACCCCTGATTTCTGACCTCTAATTTCTGTCCTCTCTCAGGTATTCACAGGGATCTTCACGGCGGAGATGGTGCTAAAGCTTCTGGCCATGGACCCCTACTACTACTTCCAGGTTATACTTCCTGTTGTTCATCAGACTTCTTGTTGTTCAGCAGACTTCGGCCCAATTCCAAACCACCCCTACACCCTACCCCTACACACTACCCCTCCGTTTGCTTGTTCGTGCGGAGGGTCCGCCACATTAAGTGCTGTTCCAAACCAACGAGTGTGGAGGGGGAGTGGGTTATCAAGCCCTCAAACAGCGAGTCTGCATCGGTCCTGACTTCATCTGCTGCACTACCTGACCGGACTCAACGCTGTTTGTGTCCGTCAGGAACAAAGCTGTTTACTAACAGTTCCGTCGAAACATTCACTGATAAACTGCACAACAAGAGCTATTTAATATCTTCATACAGATGTTGTCATGGTTACCTCATATTTGTAAATGTAAACTTTTACATTTACTCAGGTCTAGTCTAGAAAACGGTAAAAGTTGTGTATATTTACATGGACTTTTGCTAAAACGAAGCAGCTTATAAACATCAGATTTTAAAACAGAAATATGTTTACAAAAAATATATGCAATAAAAGATTTTTAGAGTTTTATTTATGTTATTTTTAATCCAAGAGATGCTGATTTGAAACCGACTGACTTCCTGTTGGTCAGTTGACGGGATCAGGGGTTTTCCCCTCGACAGAGAGTTCCCCTGCTGCTCTACTTGACCGACCAAATCTTTATTTACGTCTTTTTGTTTAACATCTGAGGTTTATAAGCTGCTTGGTTTTTGCAACAGTCTGTAAATATACAAAACTTGATGAGTCTGCCACGGAGTGGAAGTGGGTAGGGTGTGGTTTGGAATTGGGCCGAAGTCAGGACCGATGCAGACTCGCTGTTGGAGGCCAAAAGTAAATATATGTATTGTTTATTTAAACATGACTGATGACTGACAGCTGTTGCCATGGTTACAGGTGGGCTGGAACATTTTCGACAGCATCATCGTCACCATGAGTCTGGTGGAGCTCGGACTGGCCGACGTCCAGGGACTGTCTGTACTGCGCTCCTTCAGACTGGTCTGTACCTCTCTGTCTGTCTGTCTGTCTGCACTACTCTGACCTGTCTCTCCCCTGTCTCTCACCTGTCTCTCCCCTGTCTCTCCACTGTCTCTCCCCTATCTCTCCCCTGTCTCTCCCCTGCCTCTCACCTGTCTCTCCCCTGCCTCTCACCTGTCTCTCCCCTGTCTCTCCACTGTCTCTCCCCTATCTCTCCCCTGTCTCTCCCCTGCCTCTCACCTGTCTCTCCTCTGTCTCTCACCTGTCTCTCCCTTCTCCCCTGTCTCTCCCCTGTCTCTCCCCTGTCTCTCCCCTGTCTCTCCCCTGCCTCTCACCTGTCTCTCCCCTGTCTCTCCCCTGTCTCTCCCCTGTCTCTCCCCTGTCTCTCCCCTGTCTCTCACCTGTCTCTCCTCTGCCTCTCCCCTGTCTCTACCTGTCTCTCACCTGTCTCTCACCTGTCTCTCCCCTGTCTCTCACCTGTCTCTCAACTGTCTCCAGATGCGGGTCTTTAAGCTGGCTAAGTCATGGCCCACACTGAACATGCTGATAAAGATCATTGGTAACTCTGTGGGGGCTCTGGGGAACCTGACGCTGGTCCTGGCCATCATTGTCTTCATTTTTGCGGTGGTTGGGATGCAGCTGTTTGGGAAGAACTACAAAGAGTGCGTCTGCCGTATAGACAAGGACTGTGAACTCCCCCGATGGCACATGACGGACTTCTTCCACGCCTTCCTCATCATCTTCAGGGTCCTGTGTGGGGAGTGGATCGAGACCATGTGGGACTGCATGGAGGTCGCAGATCAGACCATGTGTCTCATCGTCTTCATGATGGTGATGGTCATCGGAAACCTGGTGGTGAGTCAGAAGAACTAAAGCTTAAGATTAGATTAAATGTTTTTTTATTGTCAGTCGGCGCAGTTACAGACATTGAAGATATAACCAGTTCACTACAGACTGGTGTTATGCAATAATGTCTTTGGGGGGAGCTGGTCCCGGGTCAGTCTAAACCAGCCCTCACTATTGGGGCTTTCACACCAACGCGGTTCCAGGGCCGGTTCGGAGCTAGAGCCTGAAAAGCACCGTTTTTTCCTGTTCACACCGCAGCGGAGCCGGCTCTAAGCTCCGAAACCCGGTGCTTTTCAAGCACCAAAAAATGGTGGGTCTAGAAGCAAGAACCGCTTACGTCGGAGGCGGGGCAGGGGCAGGGGTAGGGGCGGGATCAACCTGAGCAATAACAGTTAATGGCGAGTACGGCAAATGAAAGTTGTAACAAGCAGTAGCGCTGACCAAAGTGACGAAAGTATGATTAAAAGCAACACGATCATCGACCCGACGCCGTTGGGGAGAAAATCAGCGACATAAACGGTGACGTCATGATGCAGCAGCGGCAGCACCAGTCGTGCTCTGGGCGGTGTGAACAAAACGGGGGATGAAAATAAAAACCGGTTCCGAACCAGAAAAGCTCTAGCGCGTTGGTGTGAAAGGGGCATCTAAGAGGAGAGTCTTCAGTCTATAGCAGCAGAACTAGGAGCTGGTCAGCATCACTGTGCAATCAAAACCCGCGGCAGGGGAAGCAAACCCAGACATCACACGACGTAGCTTTACGGAGCAAAAAGGCAAATAGTCTTACCTTTGCTGTTTTTCTGATCAAAAGAAGAAGAGAATTGGGAGGGATGAAACCCTCTTTAATGGTCACACATGCAGAGCACACAGCACACACAGTGAAATGTGGCCTCTGCTTTTAACCCATCCTAGTACAAGGAGTCTAGTACTAGGAGCAGTGGGCAGCTATTGTACAGCGCCCGGCGAGCAATGGGAGTGGGGGGGAAGGGGGGTGTCCGGTGCCTTGCTCAAGGGCACCACGGCAGGGCAGGAGGTGAACTGGGACCTCTCCAAGTAGAAGTCCACACTCCATATTTAGGTCTGGTCGGGGACTTGAACCAGCGACCCTACGGCTCCCAGTCCAAGCCCCTACTGACTGACTTCAATGGCATTAAAACGATAAAAACGCTGCTGAAGGTTAATCCATAGGTTATTCCAATTTGTCTGTGTCACTTTGAAATGATTTCTGATAATCCATCATCAATAAGCCTAGTTTTCCGTTTTCAGAGCGTAACATCGCTTTCGGTTTGGGCAAACTGCGTGCACATCACTCTCATTCCTCAATGGTAACGTGTAGGTGGATTTAGGAACTTCCCCTTCGATTAGTTTGGCTCTAACGGTTCAAAAGAGGTGTCAATCACCGAAATCGACCAATGGGTTCCAGAGAACCGGCAAATCCACCCAAATGACCCCAGAAGTCGTTTTCTTTTCTAAATCCTGTTCTTGTTTCAGGTCCTAACTGTGTTCCTGTTCTTGCTTCAGGTCCTAACTGTGTTCCTGTTCTTGCCTCAGGTCCTAACTGTGTTCCTGTTCTTGCCTCAGGTCCTAACTGTGTTCCTGTTCTTGTTTCAGGTCCTGACTGTGTTCCTGTTCTTGTTTCAGGTCCTAACTGTGTTCCTGTTCTTGCTTCAGGTCCTAACTGTGTTCCTGTTCTTGCCTCAGGTCCTAACTGTGTTCCTGTTCTTGCTTCAGGTCCTAACTGTGTTCCTGTTCTTGCTTCAGGTCCTAACTGTGTTCCTGTTCTTGCTTCAGGTCCTAACTGTGTTCCTGTTCTTGCTTCAGGTCCTAACTGTGTTCCTGTTCTTGTTTCAGGTCCTAACTGTGTTCCTGTTCTTGCTTCAGGTCCTAACTGTGTTCCTGTTCTTGCTTCAGGTCCTAACTGTGTTCCTGTTCTTGCTTCAGGTCCTAACTGTGTTCCTGTTCTTGCTTCAGGTCCTAACTGTGTTCCTGTTCTTGCCTCAGGTCCTAACTGTGTTCCTGTTCTTGCTTCAGGTCCTGAATCTGTTCCTGGCCTTGTTGCTGAGCTCTTTCAGCGGGGATAATCTGGCGGCCCCAGAGGAGGAAGGAGAAAATAACTTGCAGATCTCCATAAACCGGATAAACAGGGCTGTGTCCTGGCTGAAGACGTGGGCCTTGGAACAGATCTGGACTTTAATGGGAAAGAAGAACCACGTGATCCCAGACCTCAGTGGTGAGGGCTTCTCTTTGTTTAAATGTGTGTCATGAGTCTGGATCCCAGATGAGGTCCTGATATACTGTGGTATTGTGATCTCTCTGTTAGTGAGGGATGAAGAGGAGGACCAGCAGACAAAGGACTCCTTGGATCTGACCTTCATCAACTCTGAACCCCTCGGCTGTAACCGTGGCAACCTGACCAGCAACTACCACAGCCTCCCGTTGCTAAGGGTCCCCATCGCCGAGGCCGAGTCAGACCTCGAGTCGCGGGACAACGACGACGAAGAGGAGGACGAAGAGGAGGACGAAGAGGACGACGAAGAGGACGACGAAGCGGACGACGAAGAGGAGGGCGAAGAGGACGACAAAGAGGGCTCCCAGGTAATTGTTACTCACCGGTACCGTTTCAGGCCTTCATCTGCATGTATATATATACATATATGTACTGTATACATATATGTATATATATGTAGTGTATACATATATATACACAGTATATATACACTACCAGTCAAAAGTTTGAACACACCTTCTCATTCTAAGTTCATTTCATTTCAAACCTTTATTTAACCAGATTGGTCCCATTGAGATCATAGATCAAGTTTGTTATTTATTTAAATGTTTTCTACTTTGTAGATTAATACTGAAGACACCAAAACTATGAAAGAACACATATGGAATTATCTAGTTAACTAAAAAGTGTTAAAAAAATCCAGAATATGATTTTTATTTTTAGATTCTTCCAAACAGCCCCTGTTGCCTTGATGACAGCTTTGCTCACTCTTGGCTTCTCTCAGTCAGCTTCATGAGGTCGTCACCTGGAATGGTTTTCTATTAACACGTGTGCCTTGTCAAGAGTCCATTTGTGGAATGACTTGCCTTCTGAATGTGTTTGAGAAGATCAGTTGTGTTGTGCAGAGGTAGGGTTTGTGCACAGTGGAAAGCCCTATTTGAGTACTGCTGTAATCCATATTATAGCAAGAACCACTCAACTCCAATAATACATCAGAGTTACCTCTGCTCAGAGGATCAATACCTCAGAGTTACCTCTGCTCAGAGGATCAATACCTCAGAGTTACCTCTGCTCAGAGGATCAATACCTCAGAGTTACCTCTGCTCAGAGGATCAATACCTCAGAGTTACCTCTGCTCAGAGGATCAATACCTCAGAGTTACCTCTGATCAGAGGATCAATACCTCAGAGTCACCAGCCTCAGAAACCACAAATTAAAGCACCTCAGATTAGAGCCGACATAAATGATCACTAGGGATGGGTACCGAGCCCCAGTATTAAACGGGCCCCGGGGCTGAATTATTAAAGACTGTGGTACCGTTAAGCTCCGACGTTATCGGTCATGTATTATGCTACACAAACATTATATTGCAGTTTTAGTGTCGTCAATTTTGTTTCCAATCCAGACGAGAGATCTCTCTCCCCCGTCTGTGTGCGAGGGGGCGGGGCAGTTTACACACACACGGCTGCTACATGCATGCAAGTTGCAACACACACACACGGCGGAGATGGCAGAGAGAACGCGCTCCAAAGTGTGGTTAAACGTTACCCGTCTCCATGTGGACAATGCTCGTTGCCAAAAGTGCAATAAGAGTTTAGCATGTCAGGGCGGTAACACGAGCAAATTGTCTAAACATCTTGCAAAACTGCACCACATTCAAACGGAGAAATGCACCGGGTTCGACTGTCTGTTAAAGTTTCAACTACAATGAAACAACCCTGGTGCTGTTTCTTTTGATGTGAAATATTATTTATATATTTTAAATAAAAAGCAATGTTAATTCTGTTTACAGTTCTGTCAAGACATTATTTAATATGATTTGTTAAACACAGTGTTGTTTCTTTTGATGTGAAATATTATTTATTTACTTTAAATAAAAAGCAATGTTAATTCTATTCATAATTTGTTTAGTTAATTTACCTTTTTCTTTTTCAAAAGAACCGATAAGAGTACCGTTAAAAAACTGGATCGATAAGCGGTATCGATAAAAGTAGTAGTACCGGCTTTGCTGGTGACACTGTTGGTGATTTATATTTATATAAAGAACTGATGTGTTTGCAGGGTGACGAGTCGTCGGTGTGCAGCACAGTGCAGAGACTCCCTGATGTTCAGGAGGAAGAGGAGGAAGAAGAGCATGATGAAAACACACCTGAGGACTGCTTCACTGACAGTACAAGCACACACACACACACACACACACACACACACACACACACACACACATACACACACACACACACACACACACACACACACACAACACACACACACACATACACACACACACACATACACACACACACACACACACATACACACACACATACACACACACACACACACACACACACACACACACACACATACACACACACATACACACACACATTTGTGTAACCGTTATATTCATTCAGAAATGATCAGGAAGGTGATTGGTGTTCTGAAAGAGGAAGCAGGGACCTGATGATCAGTGACGAGTTAAAATGAGTTCATGTGTTTCAGAGTGTTATGGCCGCTGTCCGTTCCTGGACATAGACACATCCGCGGGTCGAGGGAGGGTCTGGGCTGACGTCAGGAGAACCTGCTTCTTCATCGTGGAGCACAACTACTTCGAGACGTTCATCATCTTCATGATCCTGATGAGCAGCGGGGCTCTGGTGAGGATTATTAGATATTCTTATAAATTATTTTTGATTTATATACATTATATACATGATTGCACATAGTTAGATAGTACATTATTGAATATTGTTAGATCAATTATACATGATTATATAACTGATTGTAAGTTATTATACATTATTATCATATATATTCATGCATCTTGTCTTTCTACCTCAGCGTTGATGAAGGTCTGATTTGCATTTTGTTGGTTTTATTTTTACTTTGGGAAGCATGTATAAAATATTTTTTGAAACTCTGCTGCCTGGATGCTGATTGGTCTGTCTGATCTGATCCATGACTGAGCAGGTCAGATCTGATTGGTTCTCAGGAGTGCGTGCAGTGTGAATACTAACCTGTGGAGACAAGATGGCCGTCAGCGACCTCAGAGCTACTAACATGGCTAACAGTGGACTACATACATGGCTGATATTCTGATTACTAACATGGCTGCCTCATGTCACTCAGGTGAGATCTTTACAGATTCCTAATGAAACTCACGTTTCTGATAATTATCCTACTTTAGTTCAGCAGGATAATCTCCACATTTTAACACCACTTTATGATTTCTGAAGTAAGAAGCTAATGTTATATAAAGGAACTACAGCACGGTCACATGACTTCACGTCACCACCGCTAAGCTAATGGTGGCTAATATTAGGCTATAAAGGAACTACAGCACGGTCACATGACTTCACGTCACCACCGCTAAGCTAATGGTGGCTAATATTAGGCTATAAAGGAACTACAGCACGGTCACATGACTTCACGTCACCACCGCTAAGCTAAAGGTGGCTAATGTTGGGCTATAAAGGAACTACAGCACGGTCACATGATTTCACGTCACCACCGCTAAGCTAAAGGCGGCTAATGTTGAGCGTGATGGCGTTTAGTCGTCTCATTTAGACACTTGTTATCAACCTCTGTTTTTAAATCCATTGACGTAATTTATGTGGTAGAACAAAACGTTTAAATATCTTCAGCTTGTGTTAACCACAGACCTTATTTGAGGATAATAACCAAAAACACATTCAGAGAACCAATGACCTCCAGACCAGGGGACACGAAGTGATGACTCATGTCCAGGTTTTAGATCTCATAATGCTGACTCATGTCCAGGGTCTCCTTCCTGCACCTCTATATGGCCAGACTGCTGCATGGGGATGACTGTGTCTCTGTCCAGGCGTTCGAGGACATCTACCTGGAGCAGCGGCAGGTCATCAAGATGGTCCTGGAGTACGCAGACCAGGTCTTCACCTACGTCTTCGTGGTAGAGATGCTCCTCAAGTGGGTCGCCTACGGATTCAAGACCTACTTCACCAACGCCTGGTGCTGGCTGGACTTCCTCATCGTGGACGTAAGGATACCTGTCTGTCTCTCAGCTGTTTCTCTGCTGATGTCCTCACCTGTCTGTCTCTCAGCTGTTTCTCTGCTGATGTCCTCACCTGTCTGTCTCTCAGGTGTCTCTGGTGTCTCTGACCGCCAACATCCTGGGATACTCGGATCTCGGAGCCATAAAGTCTCTGAGGACGCTGAGGGCCCTGAGACCCCTGAGGGCCCTGTCCCGCTTCGAGGGCATGAGGGTGTGAACCTGTCTGTCTGACCCGTCTCTCTGACCCCCCCATGTCTATATGAACCTGTCTCTCTGACCCGTCTCCCCGCTTTCTCTCTGACCCGTCTCTCTGAACATGTCTGTCTGACCTGTCTATATGAACCCGTCTCTCTGAACCTGTCTGTCTGACCTGTCTATATGAACCTGTCTCTCTGACCCGTCTCCCCGCTTTCTCTCTGACCCGTCTCTCTGAACATGTCTGTCTGACCTGTCTATATGAACCCGTCTCTCTGAACCTGTCTGTCTGACCTGTCTATATGAACCTGTCTCTCTGACCCGTCTCCCCGCTTTCTCTCTGACCCGTCTCTCTGAACATGTCTGTCTGACCTGTCTATATGAACCCGTCTCTCTGAACCTGTCTGTCTGTGCTGTCTATATGAACCCGTCTCTCTGAACATGTCTGTCTGACCTGTCTATATGTCCCCCCAGGTGGTGGTGAACGCTCTGGTCGGGGCAATCCCCTCCATCTTCAACGTGCTGCTCGTGTGTCTGATCTTCTGGCTGATCTTCAGCATCATGGGGGTCAACCTGTTCGCAGGGAAGTTCTATTACTGTTTCAACGAGACGTCTGAGGAGAAATTCCTGCCGGAGGATGTTAACAACCGCAGCGAGTGTCTGTCTCTGATGGAGGCCGGCAGCCAGGTGCGCTGGAAGAACGTCATGGTGAACTACGACAACGTGGGGATGGGATACCTGTCGCTGCTGCAGGTGGTGAGTCATCACAGGTGAAATAGGAAGTGAGTCATGAAAGGTGAAAAAGGGTGTGAGGGTTAGGGTTAGGGTAAGTGAACCCCCAGTGAACCCCCAGTGAACCCCAAACCCCCCAGTGAACCCCCATGAACCCCCAGTGAACCCCAAACCCCCCAGTGAACCCTGAATCCCCCAGTGAAACCCCAAACCCCCCAGTGAACCCTGACTCCCCCAGTGAACCCTCAGTGAACCCCCAGTGTGTTTCCTCTCACAGTTGGTTTGATGTTTGGTTTTCAGCTGCTGTTCCTCTCTTCCAGGCCACCTTTAAAGGCTGGATGGACATCATGTATGCAGCGGTGGATTCCAGAGATGTCAGTACACACACACACACACACACACACACACACACACACACACACACACACACACACACACACACACAAACTCATGTACTATACTAATGTGTGTTTGTGTGTGTGTGTGTGTGTGTGTGTGTGTGTGTGTGTGTGTGTGTGTGTGTGTGTGTGTGTGTGTGTGTGTGTGTGTGTGTGTGTGTGTGTGTGTGTGTGTGTGTGTGTGTGTGTGTGCAGGTCGAGTCCCAGCCGAAGTACGAGGAAAATCTGTACATGTACATTTACTTCGTCATCTTCATCATCTTTGGCTCGTTCTTCACTCTCAACCTCTTCATCGGAGTCATCATCGACAACTTCAACCAGCAGAAATCTAAGATACGTTTCATAAAAGTATTTATTTATTTTATATATGTTATATTCCCTGTATTTACTCTCTGATAATGTGAGGTCACTGTTGTGTTTCTGGTCTTCACATGGGTGGGACAGACCTTTTCATGACGGAGGAACAGAAGAAGTATTACAATGCGATGAAGAAGCTGGGCTCCAAGAAGCCTCAGAAGCCCGTCCCCCGCCCGGAGGTGAGCTCACTTCCTGTTTTAAGGTTGTACTTCCTGTTCATTTGTTTTAGGGTTTTACTTACTGTCCCACTGTTTTAAAGTTTTACTTCCTGTCCCTTTGTTTCAAGGTTTAACTTCCTGTCCCACTGTTTTAAAGTGTACTTCCTGTTTCTGATGCCGACTGTCTCTCCAGAACAAGTTTCAGGCGCTGGTGTTTGACCTGGTGACCACGCAGTTCTTCGACATCTTCATCATGGTGCTGATCTGCCTCAACATGGTGACGATGATGGTGGAGACAGACGAGCAGAGCGAGGACAAGGAAGTCATCCTGTACTGGGTCAACCTGACCTTCATCATCGTCTTCACCGGGGAGTGCAGTCTGAAGTTGGTGGCGCTGCGGCATCACTACTTCTCCGTGGGCTGGAACATCTTCGACTTTGTGGTCGTCATCCTGTCCATCGTAGGTGAGTGCTGAGGTCATCCTGTCCATCGTAGGTGAGTGCTGAGGTCATCCTGTCCATCGTAGGTGAGTGCTGAGGTCATCCTGTCCATCGTAGGTGAGTGCTGAGGTCATCCTGTCCATCGTAGGTGAGTGCTGAGGTCATCCTGTCCATCGTAGGTGAGTGCTGAGGCCAACTGGTGAGGTCATCTGGTGATATCATCCTTCAGTCTTGTGTCGTCGCCTTGGTTACGCTTATCTTTTGGGGTTTTATTTCCTGTAAATACTTAAAATAAAGTTGTATTTCAGTTTGATTGACTGTTCCTGCACAACAAAACCCTGAACACCTTCTGATGCAACTCTCCCCCCCCCCCTGCAGGCCTCCTCCTCGCTGACATCATAGAAAAATATTTTGTTTCGCCCACACTCTTCCGAGTGATCCGATTGGCTCGTATCGGCCGAGTGCTCCGTCTGATTCGTGGAGCAAAAGGGATCCGGACGCTGCTGTTTGCCCTGATGATGTCACTTCCTGCCCTGTTTAACATTGGCCTCCTCCTCTTCCTCATCATGTTCATCTTCTCCATCTTCGGCATGTCTAACTTCGCCTACGTGAGGAAGGAGGGGATGATCGACGACATGTTTAACTTCGAGACGTTTGGGAACAGTATGATTTGTCTGTTCATGATCACCACCTCTGCCGGCTGGGACGGGCTGCTGATCCCCATCATGAACACGCCCCCCGACTGCGACCCCGACGTGGAGCACCCGGGCTCTCCGGTCAGGGGAGACTGCGGCAGCCCGGGGATGGGCATCGTCTTCTTCACCACCTACATCATCATGTGCTTCCTCGTGGTCGTCAACATGTACATCGCCATCATCCTGGAGAACTTCAACGTGGCCACTGAGGAGAGCTCGGACCCGCTGTGCGAGGACGACTTTGAGATGTTCTACGAGACCTGGGAGAAGTTCGACCCCGACGCCTCGCAGTTCATACAGTACAGGTGAGGACAGGTCGTACAGGGGAGGACAGGTTGTACAGGTGAGGAAAGGTCATACAGGTGAGGACAGGTCATACAGAACAGGTGAAGACAGGTCGTACAGATGAGGACAGGTCGTACAGGTGAGGACAGGTCGTACAGGTGAGGACAGGTCATACAGAACAGGTGAGGACAGGTCGTACAGAACAGGTGAGGACAGGTCGTACAGGTGAAGACAGGTCGTACAGGTGAGGACAGGTCGTACAGGTGAGGACAGGTCGTACAGGTGAGGACAGGTTGTACAGGTGAGGACAGGTCATACAGTACAGGTGAGGACAGGTCTTACAGAACAGGTGAAGACAGGTCGTACAGGTGAGGACAGGTCATACAGTACAGGTGAGGACAGGTAATACAGTACAGGTGAGGACAGGTCATACAGTACAGGTGAGGACAGGTAATACAGTACAGGTGAGGACAGGTCATACAGTACAGGTGAGGACAGGTAATACAGTACAGGTGAGGACAGGTAATACAGTACAGGTGAGGACAGGTCATACAGTACAGGTGAGGACAGGTCTTACAGTACAGGTGAGGACAGGTCATACAGTACAGGTGAGGACAGGTCGTACAGGTGAGGACAGGTCATACAGTACAGGTGAGGACAGGTCGTACAGGTGAGGACAGGTCCTACAGTACAGTGAGGACAGGTCTACAGGTGAGGACAGGTCATACAGTACGGTGAGGACAGTCATACAGTACAGGTGAGGACGGCGTAAGGTGAGGACAGGTCATACAGTACAGGTGAGGACAGGTCGTACAGGTGAGGACAGGTCATCAGTACAGGTGAGGCAGTCGACAGGTGAGGACAGGTCATACAGTACAGGTGAGGACAGGTCATACAGTACAGGGGAGGGCAGGTCTTACAGAACAGGTGAAGACAGGTCGTACAGTACAGGTGAGGACAGGTCATACAGAACAGGTGAGGACAGGTCATACAGGTGAGGACAGGTCATACAGAACAGGTGAGGACAGGTCGTACAGGTGAGGACAGGTCATACAGTACAGGTGAGGACAGGTCGTACAGGTGAGGGACAGGTCATACAGTACAGGTGAGGACAGGTCGTACAGGTGAGGACAGGTCATACAGTACAGGTGAGGACAGGTCATACAGTACAGGTGAGGACAGGTCGTACAGGTGAGGACAGGTCATGCAGTACAGGTGAGGACAGGTCGTACAGGTGAGGACAGGTCATACAGTACAGGTGAGGACAGGTCTTACAGAACAGGGGAGGGCAGGTCTTACAGAACAGGTGAAGACAGGTCGTACAGTACAGGTGAGGACAGGTCTTACAGAACAGGTGAGGACAGGTCATACAGAACAGGTGAGGACAGGTCATACAGTACAGGTGAGGACAGGTCTTACAGAACAGGTGAGGACAGGTCATACAGAACAGGTGAGGACAGGTCATACAGTACAGGTGAGGACAGGTCTTACAGTACAGGTGAGGACAGGTCGTACAGGTGAGGACAGGTCATACAGTACAGGTGAGGACAGGTCGTACAGGTGAGGACAGGTCATACAGTACAGGTGAGGACAGGTCGTACAGGTGAGGACAGGTCATACAGAACAGGTGAGGACAGGTCATACAGTACAGGTGAGGACAGGTCTTACAGAACAGGTGAAGACAGGTCATACAGGTGAGGACAGGTCATACAGTACAGGTGAGGACAGGTCGTACAGGTGAGGACAGGTCATACAGTACAGGTGAGGACAGGTCGTACAGGTGAGGACAGGTCATACAGAACAGGTGAGGACAGGTCTTACAGTACAGGTGAGGACAGGTCGTACAGGTGAGGACAGGTCATACAGTACAGGTGAGGACAGGTCGTACAGGTGAGGACAGGTCATACAGAACAGGTGAGGACAGGTCATACAGTACAGGTGAGGACAGGTCTACAGAACAGGTGAAGACCGGTCATACAGGTGAGGACAGGTCATACAGTACAGTGAGGACAGGTCGTACAGGTGAGGACAGGTCATACAGTACAGGTGAGGACAGGTCGTACAGGTGAGGACAGGTCATACAGAACAGGTGAGGACAGGTCTTACAGTACAGGTGAGGACAGGTCGTACAGGTGAGGACAGGTCATACAGTACAGGTGAGGACAGGTCATACAGTGACAGGTGAGGACGGTCATACAGTACAGGTGAGGACAGGGTCTACAGTACAGGTGAGGACAGGTCTTACAGTACAGGTGAGGACAGGTCATACAGTACAGGTGAGGACAGGTCTTACAGTACAGGTGAGGACAGGTCATACAGTACAGGTGAGGACAGGTCGTACAGTACAGGTGAGGACAGGTCTTACAGTACAGGTGAGGACAGGTCATACAGTACAGGTGAGGACAGGTCGTACAGGTGAGGACAGGTCATACAGTACAGGTGAGGACAGGTCATACAGTACAGGTGAGGACAGGTCTTACAGTACAGGTGAGGACAGGTCCTACAGGTGAGGACAGGTCATACAGTACAGGTGAGGACAGGTAATACAGTACATGTGAGGACAGGTCGTACAGGTGAGGACAGGTCATACAGTACAGGTGAGGACAGGTAATACAGTACAGGTGAGGACAGGTCATACAGTACAGGTGAGGACAGGTCATACAGTACAGGTGAGGACAGGTCTTACAGAACAGGTGAGGGCAGGTCTTACAGAACAGGTGAAGACAGGTCGTACAGTACAGGTGAGGACAGGTCTTACAGAACAGGGGAAGACAGGTCGTACAGGTGAGGACAGGTCATACAGTACAGGTGAGGACAGGTCTTACAGAACAGGTGAGGACAGGTCATACAGAACAGGTGAGGACAGGTCATACAGTACAGGTGAGGACAGGTCTTACAGAACAGGTGAAGACAGGTCGTACAGGTGAGGACAGGTCGTACAGGTGAGGACAGGTCATACAGTACAGGTGAGGACAGGTCTTACAGGTGAGGACAGGTCATACAGTACAGGTGAGGACAGGTCGTACAGGTGAGGACAGGTCATACAGTACAGGTGAGGACAGGTCTTACAGTACAGGTGAGGACAGGTCGTACAGGTGAGGACAGGTCATACAGTACAGGTGAGGACAGGTCATACAGTACAGGTGAGGACAGGTCGTACAGTACAGGTGAGGACAGGTCTTACAGTACAGGTGAGGACAGGTCATACAGTACAGGTGAGGACAGGTCGTCCAGGTGAGGACAGGTCATACAGTACAGGTGAGGACAGGTCATACAGTACAGGTGAGGACAGGTCATACAGTACAGGTGAGGACAGGTCATAC